AAAAAAAAAAAAAAAAAAAAAAAAAAGATTTCACCACCAGACAGCAGCGTAAACATTAAACAATTCTCACTCTGTTTAAAGATTAAACCACATTTGATTTAAACACAGAATCGTACATAGATTCCTTTATTAAGTCATCATTAAAGCAAATGGAAATGTTTTTAGACTAAGGAATTTGACCTTCATACTATAGATGTAGCAATACATGACACCCCCTTTCAGAAAGTTGAGTGTTACAGATGGGGGGACACACTCATAAACGGTCATTTCAATTTAGTGCTTAATTTTAATCCAGAAGTGGAAGTTTCCATATGTAAGTAAAGTTTGTCACCATGTTAACTTTCACAATGTAAATTATCAACTTTCACAACACACGCTTTTACACCCTGGGGTAAGGGAAACATGGGTCATTTTGGGGGGTGTTGTGGATTGGATTAGATCTTTTTATTTCTTGGGTCCTACATGGCTCACAGCCACCACAGCCTTGATCTGCTGGGCCCAGGCAATCCTTCTGCCTCAGTTGTCCAAGTACTTGGAACCACAGGCACCTGCTACCATGCCTAGCTAATTTTTTTATTTACTGTAGAGGTGAGGTCTCGCCATGTGACTTGCTTTTTTGGGTTCATTTTGGTAAGGGAAGATGGATTAACATGAAGGAGACCAAGAGCTGTCTGGGGGCCACAAGCAAAAGACAGAAACTCACAAAAGCAGAATAAAGCCAGGGTTCAACAGTACTGCATCTGACGTTGGTGATGGGAATCTACCAGGATCCTTCAGAATCAAGAGGCATTTGTGATGGAGCTAAACACACACCCTTGACCCCATGAGGCAGAGTAGCTGAAGACGTATCTGCAAGTATTTAGAGCAGGTGCAGAAATGGCTGCTCCACCATGCCAGTGAGGCAAACCAGCAACAAACATGTATGCGTGCTGCTTTCTTAACCCTTCAAATATTTCAAGAATCTTTCCTATGGCCTGTATTAGTTGCCTGTGGCTGCTATAGCAAATTATAAACTCAGTGGCTCAAAACACAGAAATTTATTTTCTAATAGTTCTGAAGGCTAGAAGTCCTAAATTAAGGTATTAACAGGGCTATACTCCCCCTAGAGTTTCTAGAGGAGTATCCATTTTTTCCTCTTTCACCTTCTGGTCACTCCAGACATTCTGCTTAAAGATTGAAACATTTGATTTAAATGTTGAATCATACACATGTTCCTTTTAAAATTTATTGTCATTGTTATTTTTGAGTTGCTGTCTCACTCTGCTGACCAGGTTGGAGTGCAGTGGCATGTTCACAGCAACCACAGCCTCGACCTGCTGGGCTCGGGCGATCCCTCCGCCTCAGCCTTCCAAGTAGTTGGAACCACAGGCACATGCCACCATGCCTGGCTCATTTTTTGATTTACTGTAGAGACAGGGTCTTGCCAAGTTGCCCGGGCTGGTCTTGAACGCCTGGGCTCAGGCAATTCTCTCATCTCTGCCTCCCAAAGTGCTGGAATCACAAGCTTGAGCCACTGCACCCAGTTATACGATCCTTTCTTTATTAAGTCATGATGATAGCAGGATGGAAATATTTCTTAGATTAGGGAATTTGTCTTTCACACTATAGATGATACAATATATGATACCCCCTTTTAGAAAAGTGAGTGTTATAGATGGAGAACTCATGAATGATCATTTCAGTTACTCCAATCTCTGCTTTCATTTTCATGTGACCTTCTTTTTTTTCTTTGTTCTTCTCTTCTGTATCTTATAAAGACAATTGTCACTGGAGTTAGGGCTCACCCAGGTAATCTATAATGATCTCATCTCAAGACACAAATTAAATCCGCAAAGACTCCTTTTCTAAATAAGGTCACAGTCACAGGTTCCAGGTAGATGCATCTTTTGTGAGGCCACAAGTAAACCGATTGTATGGACCAAGAAATGTAGCTAAGACAAAAATTTTAGTAGTCCCAGTTAGTACAGATGTGAGGCAGGAAGGGAGGCTGTTGTAAAGGGTGTGTTTATGAAGTCAGTGCTCTGCTTGGTCTACTGGGCCTTCTGCTGGGGGACACTGGGTTCCTGACATATTCCTCAGTGTTACCTAACCAACAAGCAAGGGATTTATACACCAAATTGCCAATGAAAAATTAAAAACATTCTTGTATATTATCACTGTTTTTAGTGGTCCACGTGCATTTGCTCTTACAGTGGCCCTATGAAGACTTAGTAATAACATCACCTTTATTCTACAGATCAGGGAACAGGCCCAGAGACCTTAAAAGAAACTCTGCAAAGTCATGCAGCTAGTGAAGGGCAAAGTTGGTTTTTGAACTCATGTGTTTTGGCCACTGAGCCAATCTTTCTATCCTCTACTACCTCAGTAATTCTAACCTTATCTATTTTTGGGTCAATTAGACCAGTGTTTCCCACAATTCATTATGCAAATGAATCACCAGCCCTTTGGTTGGTGGGATATGTTACAAATATTCCAAAATGTTTCATGAACAGTGTTTCCAGTTAGGGATAGTATTCAGCTGCCTCAACTTCCCAAGTAGCTGGGACTACACCATGCTGTGCACCACCATGCTCAGCTTATTTTTTGTTCTTTGTAGAGTTGAGGTCTTGCTATGTTGACAAGGCTAGTCTCAAACTCCTGGGCTCAACTGATCCTCCCATCTTGGGATTATAGGTGTGAGTCACTGCACCTGGCTTAACTTTTAACTTTTTAAGTATTATGGAGACATCATAGTTTTATATGTTTATGGGGCACATCTAACATATACAATTTTTTTAAACATCAGAGTCTCGATCTGTTGTCCAAACTGGAGTGCAGTGGCACTCTCATGGCTCACTGCAGCTTCGAGTTCCTGGGCTCAAGCAATTCTCCCTTCTGAGCCTCCTGAGTAGCTGGGACTACAAGTGCATGCCACCATGCCTGGTTGATTTTTAAAAAACATTTTTGTAGAGATGGAGTCTTGCTATGTTGCCTAGGTTTGTCTCGAACTCCTGGGCCCAAGCAATCCTCTCACCTCAGCATTCCAAAGTGCTGAGATTGCAGTCGTGAGCCACCACAACTGGCCATGCACATGTAATATTTTGATGCAAACATATAATGTGCAATAATCAAATCCAGGTAATTGCAGTAT